GATTTCTTGGTTTTAATGCATAGTATTTAAATACTCCTTTACGGCATTATTTATAAAACTGTTTTATAGAACACTAAAAAGTATGGGGCTGTTTAAAAAATGTTAATCCTATAATTAATAGTCAGAGGCATACGCTTTCCTCCAGCACAGGCACTGCTATTCTAAATCTGTCACTCTGAACTTTACAATAGGAGACAGCCATCTGCCTGCAAGCAGCCCTCTAAAACAAAACAAGCCTATATGCTCTTATGTTTCCCCTGGTGAGATGTAGGATCATTATGATAAAGTAGGCAACAAGGTTTAGCTCATATGAATTAAGATAACATGTGTTGAGAAAAAAAAGAGCATATCAAATCAAACTGATTCTATAAGTCAATGTTATTAGGTGATTGGATATGGATGATTTGATAAAGTAGAACACATGACGTAATGCTAAGTTGATAGGAAATATGTGTGTGGATGACCCAATACTTCCATAACCCCAGCAACCTGTGTTACTGAATCTAGTGCTATTTTAGTTAAGGCCTATAGTTAATTTATACCTCAATTTTGCTGTGAAAAAATCAAAGTTGTAAAATAAAATACTTTAACAATCTTTCAAGCTTAAGAATATTAAATTTAAATATAAAAAGGAGGAAGGCTATAAAGAAAAAAATCAATTTTCATTATGTCTTTACATTTAGATGTCCATGCAATTATAGATATATATTAGAGAGTCGGGTTCTTTCATTATCTATGTCTAGATTTTTCTGAAATTCAAATCTTCTTAATCTACTTCCTATACTTAGTTTTACTAAACTGTCTACTCGGATAGGATTCTCCTACGGTCACCTAATAAACTTTTCAGTTTGATTTCAAGTGGATCATGATAATGACTTTTTCATGAAAAATTTATTAGATCAACATTACCTTCTTTGGTTTTCCGATTTTGAAAATTTCAGTTAAAAAATGCTCTTTTCTTCCTTCAATAAAGATGCTTTTTATAAACAGATGGAAGAGGGAGAACATTTAGAAATTCTGTGTCATGTCATCATGTTAAATTTGTCTAGTGCAGCAACAGAACATGGTGGTTACATGTGAAGTCTACAAGCAAGCTGCTTTTAATCCCATATCTACCATGTCAAGCTGTGTGACCTTGAGTGAGGAAATTAACAACTCTGTGCCTCAGATTTCTCATTTGTAAAGGGAGATAATTTAGAGTGCTTCCTTCAGCTGGGTTATTCTGAGGGTTAAGTGAAATAAGATTCATGAAGCACTCAGTGCAGTGTCTGGTAAATCAGAACTCTTCACAGTGATATTATGCAAATTTCATTCGTGAAGCAGAAGTTCATATAATTTAGATGTTAAATGTACTCAATAGGGACTTAGGTAAGAAATAATTTTCATAGCAATCTATCAGTAAATTCTAAGCAATTTAATACTGAGAACATAGAGAGAGAGAGAGAGAAAGAGAGAGAGAGGGAGAAACTTTGACTGATTTAGGGACTGTTTACCCACAGCAAGATTTTTACCAGGTAGTTGAAACACGTTGAAACTGGCATACAATACTGTTTATTGAAATCTACTCTTAGAAATTGTGGCATCTGACCGACCTGGATAATGCTATAAAAAGTCTCATTAAGGTAGCTGATTCCTGAATCATGGGCCTTAGGCAGTAGTCATTATCTGTCAATCTGGATTCTAAGACGCATACAGTATGAATTATATTTAGAGCTTCAGATTGAAAATATAAACCTGTTATCAGCTTTCTTTATGACTGAAAGGAGAAATGTAATTAATCCAAATTTAGGAAGTGAATGGTTAAAAAGTAAATACCAAAGATTTTTACATTTAGAAATGATATTCCCAATTCTAAAAATGTATATCACACCACATTCTAAATATTATATTGAAATACTTTCCCCCAAAGGAGGCAAGAACAACAGAGTTACAGGTAATACTATCATGGGTGATAATCTAAAAAGAGTCCTATTGCATGCATTTCATTTAGTACATCATACATCTTAGATAATCACTTGACAAAGTTTCTTTAACAAAAAAACAATTCTCTTGGTGATAATTATGAACGCGGAGTTTCTGATTACTTTTCACATAGAAATAAATAATCTGTAGTGGATTACCTAGTGTTAGCAACACGCTTTGATCCAACTTAGTCTTTTTAAAAATATTGTATATTCAACTGGAAAAAAACTTAAATATATGAGTAGAAAATGAATAATAATGTTGAAAAAAGAAAATACTTTCCATAATGAATATAGAGCATAGATTTTTTATGTGAGGTAAGTTTCTTATATTGTCATTTCAAACATCAAAAGTAATTAGATCTCAGTCATGATTTGGATTTAACTCCAGACAAACCTGAAATACTCCTTTTCTGAAGGAAAATGTAGGTCACTATCTGGGTATTAAAGCTACTGAGTAAAGAGTTAGGTGGAAGAACTGGGAATTTAATAGGAGAGATAAGAATTATGGCTAGAGGGTCATTTGTAGGGCATATAATCAATAACTAAGGACTCTTCCTTTTAAAACATCAATTTCATCACTGTCAGTAAATATGGATTAAAAATAACATAAAATATCAAAATATATTTGAAGTGAGGTAAAGAGGATACTTTTCTAAGACTCTACCTAGCATGAAATTAAAGAAAAAACCCTCTCAGAATTTAATATTTAAAATTTTTTATTGTATTTTTTTCCATTACCACTTAGCTCCTTTATACCCACCTCCCACCCACAATCACCATGCTGTTGTCCATGTCCATGAGTCCTTTTTCATTTTTGTTCAATCCCAACGTCCTACCCAACGTCCCTCCCCCTTAGCTGTCATCCAGCTCCCTATCTATAAGTCTGTCTCTATTTTGCTTGTTAGTTCAGTTTGTTTATTGGATTACACATATGAGTAAAATTGTATGATATTTGTCTTTCTCTGACAGGCTTATTTCACTTAGCATAATGTTCTCCAGATCTATCCATGCTGTTGCAAAGGGTACAATTTTCTTCTTCTTTATGGCTGAGTAGTATCCTATTGTGTACATGTCCCATAGTTGTTTTATCCACTCATCTACTGATGGACACTTAGGCTGCTTCCATATCTTAGCAATTATAAATAACACTGCAATGAATATAGAGGTGCTTATGTTCATTCAAATTCGTGTTTTGGGTTCCTTTGGATATATTCCCAGGACAGACATAGAAAAAGATGCTCAACATCACTAATCATCAGAGAAATGCAAACTAAATACACAATGAGATATAATCTCACACTTATCAGAATGTTTATCATCAATAAATCAGTAAACAAGTGCTGGAGAGGATGTGGAGAAAGGGGAGCCCTTCTGCACTGTTGGTGAGAATGCAGGCTAGTGCAGCCACTGTGGAAAGCAGTATGGAGACGCAAAAAATTAAAAATGGATCTGCCTTTTGACCTCTCAGAATTTTGAATGGTTAAATTGAATTTAAAAGACCTTTACAATCCAAATTATGTCCCTAGAACTTGACTTGCAGAATATAATATAAATGTTCTCAGGCTGTAGCAGAAGGAAAGTCTCATGATATTTGTAGATGTACAAAATATTTACTCAAAAATTAAGCAACATTGATGTGTCTTCAAGAGGATTTTACAGTTAAAAATAGACTTAAGGTCACAATGTTTTACAATGAACATAAAAATGAACTCTATTTCCATTTCTATGCTTTTTACTGTGTTTACTTGCTTACTTGGCTGAATATTAAAACATCCACAGCAGTCACACAAGGTCATTTAGGAAGAGGAGTTGAATAACATACACAAGTACCTTTGAATTAGATTTTGGAGTCCCCATGTTTTGTACTAAAAAAAGGAGTTATTTAACACACTCTTGGATAAGTAATGCAATTCTCTGCCATCTGAATCATTATCCAACAGTAATCCTCATCCCCACATCCCCAATTTAAAACCAATGATTAATTTTACATGGGAAACAATGACACTTTTCAACTATTAGTATAGGGACATGCAGTCAGCTACCTCATAACATAATGTCTCTGTAATCTGCCCAGGGCTTTTCTGGCTGTAGGTGCCAACCATGGCTTTAATTAACTGACAGACTCTTAGGAGGTCACTAGATGTTGACAATAGGAAATTTTTCTTTTCATTCATAAATAACTCCATTAATGCTAAAATTTTGTTCTTAAGCATCAAAAAAATAATGTACTTTCATGCACACCAAAATAATTTAAATATGGGGATCTACTTACGAAAGATAAAAATAGTAATTTGATTAACAAGCAGTAAAAATAGTATTAGTTTGAACCTAATTATTTCTATGGTGACAAAGGATGGAAACACCACACTTTGAGAAGAAATTATGTAAATAACACTACATTTGATTTTTAGTCCTTATTTGTGTGGCAGTTGAAAATACATTTTGAATGGCAATCATAATTTAAAATCTTAACTTTGCATCTATATTATTGAACTGAAAATGTTCTATCAGAATTCATTTTTAAATAAAATTATACAGATGTTTCTTGTTTCTGCTAATATCCAACAACATGTTTATAACGGGTTTCAATTCCCTTTGTCCCTCTAGAGTTTTTAGAAAGAAATATGTGAGACTGAGTGAATTAGTCAGAAAAAGCTAAGAATTGTACTTTACGCATATGTGAGATATAAAAAGAAATGCATAGACATAGATAACAGTATGGCAGTTACCAGAGAGAAGGGGGCAGGAAAGCGTAAAGGGGGCCAAACATATGGTGATGAAAGAAGGTTTTACTTTGGGTGGTGGACACACAATGCAATATACAGATCATGCACCATAGTAATATACACTTGAAACCTACATGATCCTATTAACCAATGTCACATGGATAAATTTAATTAGAAAATAGAACAAGGACAAAGATATATAACCAGAAATAAAAATAATTTGGTGGCTTCCATATGATACTATGAACCATTCTGTAATAAATAATTATATATATATTTGAAATATAGAAGGATAATGAAGATGGATTACCTTGTTCACAGAAATGGCCAGTGAAATGCAGCGGACGGTCACACTGGAATGAAAACACACCACTTGAGAGGAAGACGGGATGGCAAGTGCCTCCGTTGTGGCACACGTCCTCCTGGCACACAGATGGCGCTGCAGGAGCGGGGCTGCAGGGAGTCCACGTGGAGTCCACCCCTCCTGTCCCAGCAGAAGGAGAAACAAAGGAGGACGTTGCAGCCAGAGTAGAATCCTGGGATCTAGATTTATAAACAGGTCCGAAAATGCAATATAAGTAAAGGTACCAGGGACTTAAATAGAAATAACAGAAGATTTGGTTTAAAATAAGAGGGGAAAATAAAACAGTCATCTAAGGTTTAACTAAGAGCAAATACAATCATGATGTTTGTTTTACAGTTGTGGGGTTTATAAATGTTGAAATGTCAGAGACGCAATATGTGACCCTGGGTGAATTGTGGTGCTCTAGTCAATCTATGTGGTTCTGAGAAGCTTAATTAATTTCTTCAAAGCAGTGAGAAACCTGGATATATTAGCCTCCATAAGCCTAAGGGTCAGTTTCTTGTAAAGGAATTAAAATTTTGGCTAAACATAGTTCTGCTTTGTCTATTTTAAACTTCATGAGCATCAGTTCAAGAAGTCAGGCCATGCTACATTTCCATGATAAAAACTGCCTGTACTTAAATTATTTCTAGGTTGATTGCTAGAAATATGTATTCCTCAAGGTGACTTGCATTCATTTGTAGGTGGTATCCAAAAAGTATTTTGGAAATGCCAAAAAATGATTTCTTAATATTTTTTTCACAAATTATACTCCCAGTCTAATTTTTCTTCTCTAATAAAGTGACCAAAAAAAAAAAAAAAAACCCCCCAAAACAATTTCCTTCTAATTAAATTAAAATTCATTAGTTTTACATTCAAAGCCTTTTGATAATCTAATTCCTCACTGTTACTTTCCAGACTATTTTATCATGATTTCTCAAAAGTATCTTAAATTTTCTTAAGCCAAATGAGATTACTATTAAAAGGACCTGAGCTTGTCAAATTGTGTAAATTTGCTCATGCCACTTTCTATGGATCATTGTTCTTCTCTTCACCTAAACTGCCAAGTCAAGATCTGTATTATTTCCTTCACACAACCTTCTTGGTTGCTTCTGGCCCACCAAGATGAAATTGATGTTTCTGTCATCTCTAAAATTCTGTAAGTTGTCATTGTAACACTGATCAAGTATTTCCCAACTGCTTGTAGTACGGTCATCATTTTATTTATGCACAGACACTCATGCTTGGTTGTACTCTGCAGTTGTTTCTCCACCTCCCTTCCCCACACACAGATGCCTCATTTTTTGGCAGAATTCTATATTCATAGCAAACACTTTAGAAATATTTGTTACATTAATGTCTTCAGTGTACTGTTGAGTGTTACATTATGTTTGGGAAGCAGTGCTTTTGTAGTTTTGATTTAATATAATCATTAAGAGAATTACCTTGTTAATGTGAAAAATCTTCCTGCAATATAAGTAATCAAAATTTAACTGAGTGTATTTTTATCTTCTACGTTGTCTGTAATGTATCAATTTGATATGATTTCAAATCTACTTTTTGGACAAAAAAGTGAAGTTGTTTTTCAGAGTGAAGTTGTTTTGACCTAAGAATGAAGCTGTTTTTAAGGGCAGAGCTGTTTTGATAGAAGGGTGAAGTGAGCCGTGTCAGGATGTTATCATCTCATGTGTTGTTCCTGGTAACTACTCAGTAGCTCAGCTGCTGAGTGGCATTAGTGGGGGCTTATTGAATAAAATATGTGGAGAAGCAACTTTAGCAAGAGCACATTTAGACAAGTACCTAGAGTCTGTGAAACTACTCCAGTGTTCGTACTGGGCAGGGCTACCCTTTGCTGATCTGAATACCTCTATCAAGACCTGTCAGGCTTTAGCTCCCACTGTGGAAAAGGTGCCTGTTTTACTGGAAGTGGTAAAAACCATGTAGTGGCCCTGCAAAGAACATCTTGCCTGTCAACACTATTGCTCTCATTCCCCAGCGAAGTGCTCTAACAATAAGGGACTTTTACTTTTGCACGGGCACATGGACATCAGCTCTTGGTTGGCCAGGCCATGTCTCTTGAGTACCAACTTGTATAAAGATATACTTCAACTAAATATGGATTCTATTCTTTTTATCACTCCTTGCCTGTAACACTAGTATAGTTAGTCTATCATAGCTTTGGAGTACAGGCATAGCTCACAGATGTGGGTTCAGTTACAGACCACCACAATAAACCAAGTATCGTGATAAAGTCAGTCATAATATTTTGGCTGCTGGAGGGTCTTGCCTTTAATTTGTAAAAAAAAATCAACATCCATGGAGTACAATAAAGCAAAGAAAATGAGGTTTGCTTGTATGTTATTTCTTTTGGTTGCTTAAGAGACATTATCCTGTATGCTATTGATTTGTGAAATTATTAAAATTCCTGCAGTGAACTTGCATTAAATAAAATGCTGGGAAAAACAAAGTCAGTGTGTGAGCATAATTTTGTCCCCCAAAACAAAGCAGTGTCAACAAGATAAAACCTTGGAAAAAATGTCAGTTCAAAGACATTTTCTGACTAACTTTAGCAAGTTATTTTTGTGTTTACTATGGATGTGTATGTTAACTCATTGGAATTAAAAAAAAACTGAAGAAAGTAAAATAGATTTTATAAAACACATTTACTAAAAATAGTGTTAATGTGCTAGTCAGTTCTTTCTGCTTATAATCCTTTTACAACCTGAACTTTTTCTTCATGGAGTTTATTAGAGGTAATAACCGTATTTTTACTTTTATAATTGTTTAAGCCTGACTCACTTCTCTGTCCTGTGGGCTGCAATTTCCATGAAGGATGGATGGATCACCTCTGCTCTTTCCTTCATCTTATCAGTAAGCGTGCTTCACTTCAAGAAGGCTCTCCAAGAAATATTTTATAAATAAATTTGAACCATTTTTGTAAACATGCAATGTACCATAGTACTAACAGAAAAAAAAACAAGTAAAAATAATTGGTTCTCTTTGGGGTCAATTTTATAACTCTACTATATAGCTCTTTAGTTTTGTAAATAGTATAAATTCTAAAACTTTTGATGTAATCTAATAATCAACTATCTCTGATTTCATTCTATTAGATTAGCATAGTTCTCCCCGTTAGTATACATTAAGTTTGTCATTTAAGGTAACTTCTGTCAAGTTAAATGGCAATGCTAATTTGAATTACATGGGATTTATTACAGCATTCCACATTCTAATTTAATTTTCAGTTTTAGTGTTTCTGAATGATTTCACCATTTCATCTAACTCTTGCAACGGACTTCATAAATGCTGTCAATCATCTTTTTCTCAGGAATTAATTTGACTGAAGTAAATGTCACTACTTAGCTGCTCAGGGGGCTTATGTCTCACCTGAAAGAAGTTAATGTGTTGCACATTTTAGTTGCTAACAGATTACACAAAAATAATTACTATCAACTGAGCCATCAATTAAAACATTGAGATAATTAATTAAATTCTGAAAACATTCTATGTTATTAGGATCACATTTTATATCTGATATTATTATTTAAGTCTTTGATCTCTGTGTTTTTATTTTCATAATTATAAATTATGCCATAAGTTTACCAACTTTAGAATTTAGAATTAAATAAAATGTATTCAATTTATTACATATTTTAAAAACAAAAATATATGGTTGTTAAAATTTTAACTTATTTTTACATAAAACATTAAAAATATCAAGTGAATGTGGATGTTAATTAAGTAGAACTAGGTGATGGTCACAGTGCCATAATTGGCAATGTAAAAGGCATATTAAAGCTGTAAATCCTTTCAATTCTAAGATCATGAAGTATGAGTGTTTAGAAACAAAGCAAGATTTAGGGTTTTCAAAATTGTTTTTTAATAAACAATATTACAAAAATTGAACTTCTTTGCCTTTCTAATTTAAATACTTGAATTACTATCAATCCAAAATAATGTGTGAACAATCTGCTTGATTGCCTCTTGGATAACTTTGGATAAGAATACAGTGATGAACTAGTCACTGTTATAACAAGTTATAGGCTCTCAAGAACTCTTTCTGAGTGAATTAATATTGAATAAAATATGCTAATTTATTCAAAATCGAGCCTGATCCTCAGAGATAGATATTTTAAAACAACAGCGTTTTTTAATCACCGTGGGGGAGCTCTAGGGGGAACAAGAAAGGTGGACACTCCACTCATGGTCTCATTCCTGCCACTCACGCTCTTTAGAGGATTCTATAAAATCCCTGGGTGGCAGGCAGCAAGCAGTTCGCATGGCTTCAGCCGGAGGCATTTTGCTATTGTCAGCAGACCTCTGTCTGGCTTTAATGTCTTAGAAGGAGGAATCGCTCACTTACAAGTGTGAATGCTGGAAGCCCTGCTTCACAGCGGAGGGTAACCTTTAGAATTATGACAAAGTATTAGGAAGAAACAAACAGAATAAGAGGAATTTGAATTTGTGGCTATGGATAGTGAAGGGGAAGCAAAGTTTCCGAAATCATTGTTAATTTGGTATATAAAAGTACATAAATAAATGTGTTATAACCTAGGCAACAAAAGACATATACTCGATATAAAATATTATACATAAATACCCTTTTTAAATAAAAGTGAGAATAATAGTATAAAGACACATACTCTATTCCACTTCATATTTTCACCAACTAGAATATGCTATTCTACTATTTTTTTTCCACCTAAAAATAATTCTCAGCATGCTGCCCTAAAGTAAGTGCAGTCTTCATTTTCCTTTTAAAAGCTGCAGAATGTTATATGGTGCGATATACATCATTGATTCTACCAGTTTGGAATTAATATATTTAAGCTGTTTCAGTTTTTTCCCCTATTATCTGGATCATAAATTCATTTTAATAGCTATATTGAGGTATAATTTACAGACATAAAGTGCACCTATTTAAAGTGCAAGATTCAATAACTTTTAGTAGATTCGGAGAGTACAACAATCACCACAATCTAATTTTATATTTGTCATCCCGAAAGGAAACCGGTGTTCAGTAGCAGTCGCGCCACACCTCCCACCCTCAGCCTACTTTCTATCTCTATAGATTTGTCAATTTAGGACATTTCATAGGAAAAAAGTCGGATAATATGTGGTCTTTCGTGACTTAGCATAACATTTTCAAGGTTCATCCATGTTTTTGCATGCAAAAGGGCTTTGTTTCCCTTTATTATTG